AAAGCGACACCGCCGCTTTCTCGCCGACTCGAGTCGTCGGAGTCGATGAGTTAATTACGGAACGCGAGGAATAATCGCGTGCGTTCGGTTTCTCTCGCGTCTGATTCCGTGTTCTCTCGTCACAGGGGAACGCGCGGACAGATTTTCGCAAATTAACGCGAGAGCGGGCAATCGACGCCGATCGCATCGATCCCGCCGCGGTGTCGCGTCGCGTCGCGTCGCGGTGCGACACGCCGGCTGAAAAATCGAGTCGGCCGAATCGAGGAAATGCATAATTGTGGAATCGAGCGTGGTTCGGTCACGGCGCCTATTTTTAGTCCGATCCTGATTGGGTGTGCAAACGGAAGGCAAAGGCCATCCCTGGTGCGCGTCCAACGTTTGCTCTACGTCGAGCGAGCGAGCGAACGAACGAACGAACGAACGAACGAACGAACGAACGTTCGTTTGTTCGTTCGGTTCACACTCTGCCGCACCCCTCCCGCCCCCGTTCTGCCCTCAACCCTCTTGCCTTCGTAGCCGCTCGTTGCTTTCTAGCTTTTCGCTCTTCCAGTTAGGTCGATTTTCGCGCTTTGCCGAGCTTTCGGCACGACCGACGTGGTACGACAACGTGCGGGCCGGCTGGTACGCCGATGCGACCGACCGCGAATTTTTCTCCCACGTGTGTACTTTCATCCCCTGCCCCCTTCGCCCCGCAACCCCCCAACTAACCCCCGGTCACTGCAGGGGACGATCGGATCGAAAATTGCGAGGCGTGAGCCTCCGACAGACGCCGATCCCGGGCGCGGAGGGACGCGCGTATTGTAATCGGCGAATCTCGATGCCGATCAATTACGGATGCTCGGCGGAGCGGTTCGCCCGAGCTCGGTATAACTTTAGATAAAAATAGAGAACGGCTTAGGTAGCGAATGTACGTGTTTGTGTGTGTGTTTACGCGAGTATGTACGCGCGCGCGCGCGTGTGTGTGTGTGTTGTGTGCGTCCGCACGTGTTAGTAAATAATGGCAGGACACGATCGAAGTAATGTATTAAAGTATTTACGGAGGCCTGCGGTAAAAGCGATACGACGTTAAAGTCGCCTCGAACTCGGGCCGCTTCTCGCGCTGTCGCGTCGCAGACGCGGAGACGAGCGTCGCGCAAAGTCCGGCGGAAATTGACGGTGCACAAGGCGGTCTTAACTCCTTCACTTAACGGACACCACCGGGCCGTGTCGCGGCCAGCACCCGCGCCACGTTCCCGCACCGCGTCCGTTCCGGCGTCATTGTTTATCGCCCGCTACGTCACTGCTTATCATTGCGCCGTGTTGGCAAACTAATCGGATTACGGGCGAACGATCGTGACCTAAAATCGATCGTGTCGTTTCGTGGTACACTGCTGCAGAGCGGTTAATTATTCTACCACGAGCAACGGGAGGAGGGCAGTGGGGGACGGCGTGGAGCGAGAAGGAGGACAGGGGTGCAAGGGAGGAGGAG